GCCACATGCCCCTACCTCTCACCACCAGCCTGCCCCCCCCCTCCTCCTAACCTAAGGAACCACAAGCGACAAGATCGGAAGCGGCGTGCGGAATCATGGAATCATGGGCGGCCTGCGGGAACACGCCACAGCGATGACCAAGTCCCCGATTCAAATGAAACTGGTCCTCGTCTCAGAAAAACTTTCAAGACCTTTCAAGAGAATGCCATGCACTTCGCTTGGAAAGAAGGATGCTTCGATAACTAGAAAGTAGAAGCACACACACACACACACACTGGCACGTCCGATCGTTGTGTCCCCTGAGCGCTTGGCCGTGTAAGGTGGATGGCCCTCCATCTTTGGGAAGGCCTCTCTCTGCCGAAGTGTGCAAGAGGGGGCGTTCAAGGACTTCTGGTGTAAGGGACCATATCAGTAAGAAGAGCAGCAATGATGGCAACATGCTCAACTGACGTGGATAGGCTCAAAAACAGTGCCTGCTCCTCCTCCAGAACCGTCTGCCAGAAAGACCTTCCAACTTCGTTAAACGACTAGCGCCGCACTTATCGTTGACGCGTGTTGACCGGGAGCTCGTGGGGGATATGTTCACAATGCTGGGTATACTGTTGAGCTTGGGCAACGGAAAAGAAGCTGAGAACCCAAAGCCCTCAGACCATCCTAGGCCCCTCCTGTGGAGGCTGTTCCTGCTGTATCAAACCCAATGACTGAGAAGAACGAAATATAACGACATCCTGCACATTTTGGGCACCCACCCCTCGGCTCCCCATGGGAAGGCAACTTCTTGCTGGTATGCAGAGGTGTTACGGTGTTACGTTGGAACTAAACTTGAAGGATGCCACATAGCCGCTATAGCCAGAGGCACATGGCACTCATCAAGAGCAGGGAGCGGCACCTGGTCCGCGCATTGCAATGCACAACGTAGAAACCGGCGTTGACCTCCCCCACACGAAGGTGAGGAATGACCTGCCAGGTCCGGTCCAGTAACAAGGAGGAGGTTTTGGGTTCTAGGCGCCCGGTACGACTGTGAGGAGCGTGGCTGCTGGGTTGACATGTTCGCCTCTGTTCGCTCACGCATGAAGATCATGTCAAGGGATTCCTCCTGGCCGGAGGGGGGCGCTGCTGCCAAATATCTAGTCGTGCTAATGGCTGGCGCCGGGTCTGCTGTGCGGCAAAGGGTGGGAGGCAACAATGGTCCTTCATCCATTGCAGCCACTCGCGTTGCAGCTGCCTCAAGTTAAGGAGCCCAGTGAGTGCATCTATCAGGTACTTGTTGCAGGCTGTAGCACTGTACTCAATGCGCCCTTGACATCTTGGCCATCTGCAAGAATTTGGGGAAGAACTGGATGTCCGTGTCCTGCAGTGGAAACTGCCAGGGGCAAGTGGCGTCTTCTGCAGCACCAATCAAAGAGACAATGCAGCCTCACAGTCGAATTCACTCTGCCAAGCGGTCCGTGTGGATGAAGTATTCGCCCATGTGGCGGTCAATCCAGCTGACAACCTGCCAAGAAAGTAGCAAACAATTCTCAGCAACAGAACTTCCTGGAATTCAACTGAGCTGCTGCTCGCACCCACGATGCGCCCCTGCAATCAATGGCAAACCTCCACCCAGAAACCACCACGGAAGGAAGCAGGAACCTCAGAACGGGAAGATCCCAGGCCTAGAAAGATTAAGGCTTCTGTCGTCCCGGACTCTCGCCCCACCCTAAACTGCATCAACCCCAAACCCAAAAGCCCCTAAGGCTTCCTAAGCTTCCCTACAGGAGGACCTACCCCCCATGGAACCTCCCTTAAGGATCCTGTGTTGCCTCCTCGAGCTGGCGGTCAATAGCCTTTCGCCAAGACTCGGTGCAGTAGCCGTAAGGCGGCGTCAGCCTCAGCTTACGGCTTTTAGGGGGAGGCTTCAGTGCCAGAAAAAAGCGGCGCCGTTCTTTTGATCGCGCCAAAGTCCAGGTTCGACGGGCTTGAGGTGGTGGAGGGATGTGGAGAGTACGGCTTTTGTCTTAGGAAGTTTCTTCTGGGCCCACGACGGGAAACAAGAGGCTCCATTCCCATGTTGCGCCGATGCTGGTGGAGAGGTTCGCTGAGTTCGCTGAGGGTGGAGCTGCCCCAGGTCCACCACATGGATCTTCTGCCTTCACGCAGAGGTGGACAGAGCGTCAAACAAGGAGATGGCAAAACTTGACGTGCAGGTATGTGCAGGGTATACATCCCGTTCCACTCCATGAAGAGTCACAGTTTCCAACACCACGATGAGGCTGCTCTACTGCCTTCGTGGGCATTTTCTCAAAGCGAAGCTAGCGGTCAATTCGCTTCACATCCGGCCCAGGCCCTTCGAAGCAATGGGCTGTGAAACAGAGGTGCCTCGTCCACCCCCGAAAAAGATACCGCCGTCCACAATGAATGAGTTTAGGAGCTTGTCTGACTGCTTCGGTATGCAGTGCATCAGGGTACATCATCTGATGGACAGCTATCCTACACGAATTCACCAGGGTCAATGCAAGCCCTCCGTAATGGCCAGAGCAGAAGTCTTCTGAATGTACCTGCCCAGGGTTCAGCCACGACCGAAAGCCCGAAGGGCCCCCCCAAGGTGGATGGGACAGACTTCCACAGCTCAGAGGATCCAGATGCTCCGAAAAACCTTCCTCAGGACTCCCATCTCTATGAGAACTGCGGGGAATTGAAAGTGAGGTTGGCCCCCACTTAACTCCGAACCCCTGAAAATAACCGCAAACCCCTGAATGCCCAAACCCCCTGAACCCCTAACGCCCTATTGGCTACCTCAGGTCCGGCTCCAACAGGCGCTTCGTCATCCAATCCTTGGCACGAGGTTGTTGAAGAAGGGTTCAGGGTCCTTGAAGGGTTCGAGGATGAGGAAGATGCGACTCCATAGGAAAGCAGAGCTTGGGAGCTGGTGAGGATGTCCTTACTCCCCAGGGGCTTCTTGGGGGGGGGGGGGGCCAGAGCACTCGTTGCGTTCTCGCAAGGGCTCCCTTGGACCGAAGCACCGCCTTCAACGACGAACCCGCGCTGTCCCTTCCGGGCGATTGATATAAGCACCTAGCTCCCTAATTCGCGATTAAGAACTAGGAAGACCATGCACATACGACCCACGATTTGAGAAGACTTGGCGCCAGGCGGATGTCTTGGCGTGTATTAGCTTCGGAAGCCTTGAAACGAAATCCAGCGCCTGCGGGAGTAACGAGGGGGTCATATCAACACAACAGTACAATAATACAATCATATGCTCATAGAAGACCATAGAAGCATGAAGTATCATGAATATTGTTAGAGTTGAGGTGCCGCTTGTGGGATGATTCCCATGTTCGGTGGGGAAGGTGGTCTTATTGACAGCTGCAACTGTCAGATGTCCTGAATGCAGCAGTCAAAGGGAAGACATCAATGATCAATTGTGACACTTAGCTTAGGGTGCCCTGACGATGATGAGTTTTCGGATTGGCGTACCCGAGCTTTTTCCTCTCCATCAGAGAACTTCCATGCGACATTACTCATTCTAATACTGAGTTGCGTCGAAATATACCATGTGGCACAGTATTGCAGTGTGTTGTTTATACTCTGCTGTACTCTACTATTCGAGATGTCGATGATTGTCATCGTCCATGCAACTCAGATTCAGCACCATCTTCTCCTCTCTCCGCTACTCAACCTGAAGCAGTACTTTGCGAAAGAAAGAGGGTGCGATCCTCCCGGGCAGCCAGCACGGCCGCATGGAAGCTCTTCAGGTGCCGCATGAACTGCGGGTTCTCCTGTGAGAGGCTTCGGGGCTTCGAGTTAGGGTTTGTGGATTGGGGCTTGGGGAACAGGGAAGGAAGTACCTTCATGAGGCCCTAAAGCCTGAACCCCTAAACCCGGGCAGAAAGAAGCCACACCCAATCACTTTCTTTGGCTTGCAAACTTGTCAAGTCTGAACTCCCTGAAAATCGCAGCATCTTAAAGCAAGACCTCCTCAGGTCAACCTCTTGGCACCCTCCCTGTGTGAGCGATTTTCCCGCCTTGAGCTGGGGGCTCAGCCGCTGCTCCGGAATCTTCATGACCTGGGCAGAAAGGTTTACGGTTCAGGGTCGAGATGCTTCAGGCGGTACTTTAGGATGGATGGCTCGCGGTTCTTTCTGGTGACTTCTCAGCTCCTACAAGTAGCGTTCGAGATCTCCACTGTCGGCCCTCATTGCGGCTTCAGGGAGAAAAAAGGACAACGCACGGTCGGCACCACCCTTGCCAACCTGATCTACTCGCTCCAAAGTGCAACTGCGTTCTTGAACTTAAGTTTGAGTGGAAGAATCACAGGCAAAGATGAACAGATGAACAGTAACGACCCAAAGCACTTCATAAACGTGACATTCGCACTGAATGTCTCAGCTCCGCACGTATAGTCTCAGTTCCAAGTACTCCTGGGCCGGGCAACATGCTGTCTCTACCCAAGCCGCGAGTCCGATAAGTTTTGCATACAAGGAGATGAAAGATTCAATGAAAACGTAAGGATCGAAAACACTGTCGTCCGTTCTGGAGCCTGTCCGCTCTGGCAAGTGTTGCAAGTCTCGAAAAAACAGAAGGTTGGGGGGAGCGCGGGAGCACAGCCCACCCCATCTGCTCGTTATGTCTGCATTTAGCCAAGTTGGGCAGTCTCTGAGCATGTTGGTGGGGTGAGGAAAAGCGCAGAGAGCCGAGGAGGACGAGCGGAAAAGACCGCCTTCCATCCTTCCTTTTTCTTGGACAAAAGCAGCATGGAACCAACGTAAAAGAGACCCCTTCGTTTCTTCTTTCCTTCCTGAACTCAAATTTTTGCTGAACCTTACCGACTGTTTTTTAATGTTGTGTTTATGTACTTATTTGTATCTCTTAGTGTTTTTGTTTCTCTTTTCCTACGAAGTCTTACATTCGATTGTGCTGTGTTGTATGCATACATCTAAAAATGCCATGCGGAATGGGCATAACGTAGCGTGAGGTACTTGGTCTCCGTTTGCACAGCTGCGGTTGCAGCACCAACTTCAGTGCCCAGGCACGAAGATCAGATGCTTGGCCAGATGGAGCCATTCTTCGGTGCCTTTTCTTTTTTGCATGTTGCACATGGTGTCTACAGATATGGAGAATGTTCAATGCGAATGGAGGTATCTAAGTCAGCGGCACTTGGACTCGTAGAAGATGCAGGCTTCGGCAAGCGGGATCACGTCGTTTGGGAGCTTGTCACTTGCGGTCTCGGGAAACAGCCTGGACTGAACTCGGACCAGGACTTAAAAAACCATGCGCGTGCCCTGAAAGCGCTGTCAACTTGCTGGGCATGTGTTGCGGAAAAGCGGCTTGTTGGTGAAATACTCCTCAGCCCGAACATGACATAACCAGTGGCGTGCTGCGAACGATCTGAAAGCACCATGTGCCAATCATGTGCCCAACCTTCAAGCCTAGCCGTTTGGCGGCGCCTACCCATGGCCTCAACCCGATACGACGTCCGAAGTGGCTGGAAAGAGGCATGAACTGAATGTTCTGGGGAGCACAGCGGCTTACGCGATGTTCCACTTCAGATTACCCGCAGGTTCCAGGAAGACGCTTTCGCCACCACAGCTCATAACCAACAACTGCTAGTCAGAGCCAAGCATCGACAACCTGAGTTGGCAGAGACTTAAGTGCTGTCATGACTTGGCACCAGAGGCATGATTCAGCTCTTTTGACTGAAGTCTGCCGCCGAAATGCAGCGGAAGGACTTGCTTGCACAGAAAGCTGCCGCACTCTATCTGTGCCAGGTTGTATCACTCCTTGCGAAACCCGAACCAACTCTGGGCCAAAGGTGCGGAGACAAAGTCATTCTCCAACCGCTGCTTCGCTTCGATATCCCGCCGCCTCAGCTGTCATGACATCCAGCAACTCCACTGCCCTTAGTCTTGGAACCAGTCAAAAAAGTACTCTACTATGCCACAGCCAAAGGTAATCCAAAGGTGTTCTCTGAGGTCTGTCCCCGACAACCCGAACAAAAACCCTGCCCTCTTGCTGCCCAAGCAACTCCTCCGCCTGCGTCAGCTCCAACTCCACATGGATGATCTGTTCCACGTTCTCGAAGACCTGCATTGAGGGCATTTCTTGAACACTGGCATACACAGCGGGCTATTGTGGCGAGCTGGAGGCATGCCTCATGCATGCTGCATGCTGCAAATCTTCGCTAGACAATTACAGGAGCCTGCACCACCGAACCGCGACGAAACTCAACAAAGGCGTTTCTAGCTTCCACGTTGTGTGCAGTCCTTGCCTTGGTCATGATCTCGTGCCGCGCCTTGACGAAGCGCTCCTAACAGTCAGCAAGATCCGCCGTGCCCAGCGGAAGGAACAAGAGTTGAGGCCGACCAGGCCGAACCTCGAACTCCATCCAGAGACGGTCGAAGAGCTCGATGTCGTCCTAACCGGATGGTGGCCCCGAACACAAGAGGTACAAGAACATTCTCAGCAACCTCTGCAGACCCCACAATCTGCATCCCAAAGGCCCCCCCCACGAGCTGCGGTCCTTCAGCTCGGATTTGAAGCGTGGCAGGCCAGTTGCGAAGTCGTCCTCCCCAAAAACGGCTGATCGGGAAAGTCACAAAAGCTAACAAGGACTTGTTCGGCCCGTCTTTCGAAAAGGCTCGCGTCCTTGAGCCGTGGCTCAATTTCACTGGCGATCTTCGTCATTGTGCTGTCCACCTCCTTCAAGAAGCTCTCCTCAGCAGCCGTAGACAGGGAGCCACGCGCGATCTGATGGCTTCCCATATTCGGGGTACCTTATGGGGGGTCTGTAATATAAGGGAATCCTGGTCCCCTATTTTTGTAGACCCCATTTTTCTTTTCAAGGCATCTCTGAAAGAGGCCAGATACGCTGTGAAGATGTGAACAAGTAGCCTTGACGTGCGAAGGGCCGAACGAATTGTTGAGCCAAAGCCCCGACGAAACGACACGAAACCCCTGCAAGCAAGAACGCTTCGCACATTCGAAGCCGTACGTGAAGCCCGTGCAGGTATGCTCGCTTCTCGACATGCACTGGTGCCAAGGGACTGCGAGAAGCTTAATCTCGTCCGGGTATGTGTGCAGCACTCCATTGAAAGTCCTCGGGCAAAAGTCTCCCCAAAAACAAGCACGGAGCTTGGCAGCTACTTCGCAGTTGCACGGCACACTGTGCTCGGCACACCTGCATCACTCTATAAAAGGCATGCTGCAACTCCAGCCCCAGGAAACCCCAAAGCTCCCAAGACCAAAACTCCCCAAACTCGCCAAGGCACACGCCCGGCCTCTCCTGGGCTTCCCTCGCCTCCGCGGCAGCACGAGGTCTTTGCTTAGGCGGGCGATCGTTTGAGTTTGAGGGTTCCTTCGCTTGCGATGGTGGCCGATGGTTCCAGAGCGCTTTAGACGGTTTTTTAACGGCTTCTGGCATGTGATGACCGTGGTCTTGCCATACAAAAAGCCTTTGCCATGAACTTATGATGAGAGGTGGTGGTGGTCGTGTGGTTCTGTTGCCTGCTGCATTGTATCCGAAGGGTACTATAAGTTGTCCTGCGATGGATGTCAGGTCCTGCAGTGATTGGTCTTCATGATGGCAATTAGGGTCTTGCGAATATCAGATGATAACTTCTGTGACTTGTGTGTTCGCAGGTCATAGGTTCGCAGGCCATAGGTCTCACCAAGTTCAGCTTCCGAAACTTCAACATGTTCTGAGGCTCCGAGCCCTCAACTCAATGCCCGCCTGTCGGATGACATTGACGTCAAAGCCCATAGGAAAGAACTGAGGGGTCGGTGACAAGAGCCTCCAAGAGCAGTGAAGGTTAGGGCCACAAAGGGGTGCTAGGGCCGTTAGGTTCGGGGCTTGGGCGGCTTCAGGGTGGCCCTGGAACCCTGCATTCCCCTTTCCAAGTCTATCACCTCTTGTTTTCTCAGCTCGGTAGGGTTCAGGGTTTAGCGAGAGATTCGAGACATGTGTTTCGCCGTGCCCAGCGATCACGCTGGACATCGTTGGACCATCTGAGCACCTGACCGATGGAAAAAGTTGAATCTGTAGTCCTGCCACTCGAGCTTTCCGACACACACAGGCAGACCCCCAAAACAAACCCGAACTCCAGCAGCACAAAGAGAGACCACGCGACATCGGGTCTGGGCTGTCCTTGTTGGAGTGGATGCCTAAGTAGTCAGCGAGGAGGCCCACCATGTTGAGGAACCGTGCGACCTGTTCCATGGTGCAGGTTTGTGCGGGACAGTGCTGGATGTGACATGAAGATGTTGCGGCAAGCAAAGCAACATGTGCTCATCCAAAATCAACCTCAGGTTACATTCCACTATGCTGCATCTAACGACTCAGCACGCCACCCGCCTTTTTATACGCGAAATCGTCCAGAGCATCCGTCGCGACAAAGGGGAGACTTTCTTGGATTTCTTTACATTCCTGCATCAAGGCTACAACCACGCAGCACACCACATCACACCCCCCATCCGCCAAGCTCAACAAAAGTGGGTGCACATGAACCAAATCCCCTCGCAAGTCTTGGGGGTCCTGGAGTAGGCAGTACTCGCGTGTGCCCTTGAAGCGCACGACGTCCGGGGTTCCGGTGAGTTTCGCCTTCTTCTTGCCCTGGCTGGAGTCTTGAGCATAAGGTCTAGCATTAGGTCTGCTGCCCTTTGCAAAGGTGAATGCAGTTCACTCCCACACCCTCCAAACCTGCTGCATACTGGAAATTCCTCGGGTCGAACCCACGCTGAAACCCAAACTCACTATCCCTACATCGCCCTTCTGGCCTTCTTTCCCATATCCGGGCCTTGGCTAAAGCCCCTTCGATGGTCTTGCGCAAAATGCACGACAACGTAATTAGAAAAGCCGTACGTACTTCTGCAAGGGATGGTGAAACGCACTAATGGTACCAAGGAGCTGAGACAGCGGAGAAGGGAGCCAAAAGCCTATTGCCTTCAGCCACCTTCCCTCTGAGCCAAGGTGCGCAGCACGACGCAGCACCAACGCTCACAGAGACCAGAGCAGCACGTCACATCAACTGTGAAATGACTTTCTTGTGAAAAAAACATTGCTGCCAAGACCAAGATGATGGGTGGCCTGGGGTAGCCAAGCAGCCGAAGCGAAGACCTTGAAACTTGCACACTAAGTGTCCAATGTGTCCACGTGTACGCCGCTATGCCCGATTGCGCACGGGCAAGCAGCCGTCACACCAAGATAAATCTCCATACAAGGTGCTGACAGCCCGGGTTTACAAGCACGGGCGCACGAGCTTTCACAAGGAGGCTACAAGCAGCCCTCAACAGGCACATGGGCAAGTCTGTACGCTTACGCTCCGAGGGGGTTGCTGCCAGAAAGCAAAGACTGGCTGGTAGTTGCTTGAGGTCACCTCATTGACCAAGTGTCTTGGTATGCATGTAACCGACAAATCTCATTCGATCTAACGACCTTGTGCACTCACAGCTGCTGCACTTCTGCCAAACAAATCAAAAATCTTGAACAAGCATTGGCCATACTTGCGGGCGTGGGCAAGTACATTCGTGCCCAAACTCTGCTCAAAGCGGACCAGTCGCCGCCAGAACAGGCAAAAGTTCTCCTGCAGCTGTGGTCTACTTTTGCGCGCGCGCACACACACACACACACACGCACATGGCTGGCCTGACGAACATTCTTCGGCAAAACCACGGTAAAAGCTCCAAAGTCCTACCCGCACACGTTTGATGCCTCATACAACCTCGTACCAGCACACCACTCTCCTCAAGAACCACGGGAAGAAGATGCTCCTGCAACGGCTTCTGGCAGCCACTCCAAGACTTCCTCTTCGTCCCAAAAACACTTGTCCATGGCCCGGTGTGCAAGTCACACTCCTCGCAACACTGCTTTACCATGAAAGTGCCATGATGAAGGGCCTCGGGCTAAGGGCTAAGGGTTGTACTTTCGGAGTTGTAAGGTTCAACGTTGGCTGAAGGTTGACGGTTCAAACCCCAAGGTGGAAAGAACTTGAAGTTCAGGGTTAGGGTTTTGGGAGTTTTTTCGGCTGTGTGTTTTTGAACCTGATGTTCTGTGCGCCTCTAAGCCAAAAGCTCCAGGGCGAGACAGCACCTAAGCGCGCAGGAGTCGTAACTGGTGGCTGGTTCGGGGGCAGATGAGGATTCACAATTCGAGTCATCACTTCAGTCCAGAGGGCAGAGCAAGGGCCGTCAGCTGGGTTGTAGGATCCCGACAAAAACCCACAGCACGCCATAAACGACGCGAGTTCCTGCAAGGACGTCCAACCTTCAGGGTGACCCTTCCTCCTTCCCTTTTGGTGTTCTTTTTGGCGGGGTTGGCTTGGGTTGGCTGGTCTTGGCTTTGCGTAGGTGTGTTTGCCTTCTCTTTCATCTTCCCTGTCCCTTCCTTCTTCCTTCCTTCTCCCTGTTCTCATATGACCACCTGCCACGGTGTGGTTCCTGCAGGTGTTGTGGGATGTGTTGGTATGTGGAGTGGTTCTGGGCTGTGACTCCATAAAAGGACAAAAGGAGAACCATGACCTATCGGAATCTATCGGGCCCCTACAAACACTCCTCCTTTTCAGCTGATGCAGCATGCATAAGTAAAATAAGATGAAGATAAAAGTAAATAAGATTATGAATCCTGCATTTTTATTTGGTACAGCTTTTAACATAGCATATTGGCATAAAAAATACCATTCAGGTACTATATGTAAAGGAGTAAGTAATCCACATGCTTCTAATGCATTATCTGGAGGTGAGAAAGAAGAGAAGCCGAAATGAATTTGAAGAAGATATAGACAGCGAAGTAATATCTTTCCATAGAAATCTTTACTAATAATTAAAGGAACAAGTGTTACTTTATGAGTGGAATTCCTTAAAGGATTATTAGAAGATAAGAAATGTCCACTGAAACCAAAACTGCCCGATGATCGCTCCATCCGAACCTACGGCAGATGACTACGAAACACAGCTTATGGCCAGCCTATGGCTCTTTGCTGCTCTGCCCCGTAGAGTTTGGGTCAGCCTATGACCTTTTCATTTCTTGTTTCGGAGTCTGCCAATGTGTTTTTACTCCAGTGAGTCACTCAAAACGCACCAGCCTACCCATGAAGAATGTACACTGCACAGGTCCTGGACTATTCCTTCTGCTACAGTGAACAACGGGTCCCCATTCCAGCTTCCAGGCCACTGAATGTCAGACAGCAAATGGAAAAGCCAGAAGAAGCGTACGTAGTGCAAACGTGTTCTGTTTATATTCTTTCACTACATCCAAAAGCCGAAAAATCCAATCAAGGTGAACTCGGAGCCTGAACTTGGATTTGTTGCCTAACGGGGTGCGAAGCACTCTCCCGCTTTGTTTACTGGGAACCTTTCACTCGGAAGCTGGAACCAATCTGAAATGTCAACCAAAACCCCAAACTCTGAAACCTCAACACTACCACTTCCACTTTTACGTCGCGGACGACCACTCCAACGATGACAAAGACGACTGCAACACCACTACTGCTACTTTGGCGACGCCTATAACACTCCTACAAATTCTACGACAACGCAACATGTTGGAATTGTTTGTGTTTTGCAAGTGCATTGATGGAAATAAAACAATTCAAAAGTTTTCTGTGTCCTAAGAAAGTCAATTGGAAGGTTGACAATCTTGACAATTTCGTGGAAAATCAACACACAAACGCACAGGGAGACACATGAAACCAGGCACAGACACATGACTGCATCCTGCGCGAATTCTCAGGAAGAACAGTCCCGTCAAAACCTGCTTCTCTGCGAATTCTCATTGAAGCACAGCTCTCTCTTAAGTAGACACTTTTTTGACCCTCCAGAGACTACTTGGATTTTTTGCCTAACAGCAAAATGGGGGTGCAAAGCACTCTCCCGCATCGTTTACTGGGAAACCTTTCGCTCGGAAGCTGGAACCAATCTGAAGTTTCAACCTAAACCCCAAACTCTGAAACCCCAACACTACCAGTTCCATTGTTACGACGACGATGACTTCGACTGCGACTACGACCACTACTACGACTACCACTACCAGTACTACTACTGCTGCTGCGACGAACACTGCTGCTGCTCCTCTACTACTACTACTACTACTACTACTACTACTACTACTACTACTACTACTACTACTACTACTACTACTACTACTACTACTACTACTACTACTACTCCCTACTACTACTACTACTACTACTACTACTACTACTACTACTACTACTACTACTACTACTACTACTACTACTACTACTACTACTACTACTACTACTACTACTACTACTACTACTACTACTACTACTACTACTACTGACTACGCTACTACTGCTACTACTGCTACTGCTACTACTACTACTACTACTACTACTACTACTCCTACTACTACTACTACTACTACTTACTACTACTACTACTACTACTACTACTACTACTACTACTACTACTACTACTACTACTACTACTACTACTACTACTACTACTACTACTACTACTACTACTACTACTACTACTACTACTACTACTACTACTACTACTACTACTACTACTGCTACTGCTACTGCTACTGCTACTGCTACTGCTATTGAACGCTGAGCGAGCGGGCTCTGCTCATTGCGGGCGATTTGCACCGTCTGAGCACAGAAAATTGGGTTGGAGCTCATGGTTAGGAGAAGTGAAACTGAATTCAACACTGCGCAAGCAGGGTGAGACCTCACGGGATCTCGGATCAAACATCGGCCGAGCTGTCTAGCTAAAGCGATACTAAGTGCATCTTGGCGATCTGATGCAAGGAGGTCTTCTCTCCATCGTCCTAGTGTGTTTCGCTGCGTCCAGCAAACACGCACCAATCTGCAATTGGGTCGTACCTCGTAATCACAGACGAGGGAGTGGGAAGGAAGCGAGAATGCGGAGTGGGAGGAAGGGAGAAGAGAGAAAAACTCAGAGGAGAAGGGAGAAGGGAATTTATTCTAAATTCTACCCCCTTCGAGTCTTCTTTTGTTTTTTTGTTTCATTATTTGAAGATCAGAGGAAGAGACGAGAGTGTTTTTGTTTGTAGAAGTGGAGAGTGAAGAGATTGAGCGAAGTGCAGCCGTGAGACTCTGGAGATCCCCCGTCTCTCACCTTCGAAGCAAAGCCCCTCCCACCCCCCTTCGTCCTCGCCTTCGAAGAAGCCTTCCAAGCTTCTTCGTCCTCACCCTTCGAAGCCCCCCTTCGTCCTCGCGCCTTCAAAGCCTTCAAGCCCCCCCCCCGTTCTCACCCTTTCGAGCCTTGGAAGCCTTTCCCCCTTCGTCCTCGCTTCACTCTTCGAAGCCTGAGCAGGAGGGCGGCGAAAATCAGTGTCCATCTAGTGGCGTCCCACATGGATCACTGCAGAAAGGCATTAAATATTTATCAGGAAATGGAGTGCAGGCGTCCAATGCGGCAGTGTGGAAGGGGTGTGCTGTTCTTTTTTTACCACGCCTCTTACTACATCAGCAGCACAGTAGACCGTTCTTGTGGGTCGAAAAGACTACTTTAAAACAACTGTACAAGTCAGCGAGTAAAAAAGAAGTCGTGACACAAAGAAGCAACCGCCAGCGCAGAGGCCCTTCTTATGCAAGACAACTCAACGCAAGGCCAGCATGGGAAGACCAATGCAAACAAGAACCTACTAGCACCAATCACTTAGCAGCGTGTCACCCATAGCAATGCTGCTACTCTAGTAAGTGAAAGTATGGGTAGGCCGTAAGGCAAGGAACCTCCGTCACCTAAACTGCTCAACGCGTCCGTCGAGACAGTTTCCACACAAGCGCCAGGGCCGTGGC